TGCATGGAATTATGTACTTGCCATGAATTCACATGGTGATCCTGCTCGGGCTCGGATCGTCGTCGAGAGCTTTACACCATGCCCCTTATACACTATGTTTTTTTCTGAACAAGTCACTATAAGCTAATACATCTCATTCGTTATGGTCGCAACCGATTTTTTTTTATACTCATTTTTCCGTAATTATGTTGCTTGGTTGACGATAGTTCGAAGACTAATGCCTCACAACAATGAAATCTCTGAATTATATTAATTATGAGTCACTGAGCACGTTATGATCATAATGAGCGCAACATCCTCGCAACCCCCTTTCATTCCACGAACTAAAAAAACGCTCAAACCCAGAAAGGCACAACCGACTTGCTTTTCACGCTTACTTTCTTAGCTTCTCCAGAAAATTTTGATAGAGATTAGAAGAACTATATCAATATCATTAACATAAATATTTAGTTATTTAAAATTCATAATAGGCATACAACCGTTTATACAAACGTATGCAATAAGCTTGTTCAAAACTTTTTACGTTAATTTAATATAATTGTGAAAATAAAAACAGTTCTGAAACAAAGAAATAGCTTTGAATCGAACTACATCTACAAGTTGTGTAAACGGGTTCATGTCAAAAGAAAATTATTAAAACTTATTTTTCAGTTTAGTACACAAACAGTATTCATTATGTTGGGATTTTACAATAAATTTTTATCTAAACGGAATATTTATTCACTTCCCATAGGACTCAATTAGAGGCATTTGATTCATACTGACGACCTAAAGAGGCAATTAGTTTTGGGCTCAAGTATATGAAGAGAAAATGAGTAAAAACGACTAATGATTACTATAATTAGATATAAGCAATAAACTATGAACAAACCGGCCGTTTTGTTAATTTCATGGTGACGAATAGCTCTCCAGATACTTCACAAGCAACTCGACAAGCCTGGGATCTAGGAGACCTCAACATCTGAATTATCTTCCTGTTAACAGCCGACATCTCCTGCTCAAGAACCTCGAACTCCAAATGACGAGACAGTTCCACGATTTCTGTCATTCCTTTCATTGCAATCTCCCTGCCAATAAATTGCATCGTTTTTTTTTATTCTAAATTATTATAAAAGCTAATAAAATACCAGTCATCACTATTAACGTGTGCAAGAGCTTTGGAAAGAGATATAGGTTCTACATACATTCGTCGTGAAAGTCGAATTATGCGTACTTGAAGATTCCGTTTCTGAGCATAACATATGATCCTAAAAATAAAAATAAAATAATGAATAAACAAAAGAAAATTATATATATATATATTATATATATATATATATCCGTACCTCTCCCATTAGTCCCTGAAGACTGCGCTTCTTAGCCACATTAGGTTTCGTACTACTTTTGTCGTTATCTTTACCAGTCAAGTGCCTGCCTGACAGAGCACCAAATTATTATTCACGCCTCTTACAGATAGAACCTGACGTTGGTCTGGTTCTCTATATGCCAAACCCTTACTGTTTTTATGCGAAGCTACCGAATAATTATCGTTTTTCGGGCTAAAGTTCACAGAGCTGCTAAAACTCAGTTTACTCATGGCGGCACTAATATTCGATTTTTGCTTATGAGCACGCGGCATCGACGACTTCACCTGTCCGTCATCTTGGTAGTTCGAGGAAACCAAATCTATTTCATTGCTGCTATCTGAGAGAATTTCTTTAGGAGTGCAATACCAACAAATCCATGCCTTTAGATGTTATTGGTGTTATTTTATTACGAGGAGTTAATTCATCGGAATGGACGAGCTTGTCGCATGACTCCGATGTCGCAAAATGATGCGGAGGCAATATCCGTTGAAGAATTTGCAGTTCGGGTCGATCCTGGTTGTTCAGCGCAGGTAAGATGAAAGGTTCACTACGAGATCTGGTCTCTGTGGAATAAAAATATATAAAAAAATATATTTTTTATTTATTTATTTATATATATATATATATATATATATATACATATATACTCGTATATATATACAGGGCCGGTCCTGCCTTGAATGCAATGCATGCAAAAAATGCGGGCGCACGCCTTAGGGGGCGCCAAACGAGGTTTGAAATGGAATTTATAATATATTATTTTTTATTTTTTTAAATATAAAATCCTGAACCCTAATAGATTATGATAACAATCCAACTTAACTATGAGTCATAAAAGGCATATTCAGTTTGCAATGTGATATCAATAGAAACAATTAACCAAATAATAACTCTGCAAATTTGTAAATTATTGTTCTGCTTATTGTTTAATGTACCCTTAAATTTTTTTTTTCGTTTGAAGTTAACATGGAATCGAAAAAGAAAATATTTAGTGTTCAATCCCGTAAGAGCAAACCTGCGAAAGTTTAAATTAATTATTGAGCGTTATTGATCAAACATAGCAAGCTGATTTAGTTAAAATGGAACTTATTAAAGAATATATACTAATTATAATAAAGAAAAATGGAAAATGGGGAATCAGTGCTCAAAAAATGGCTTGTTTATTCCGTAAAATTGTATTTTAACTTTTGTTTTTGTTGCAAACATATCACATCTGATGAACTTTGAACGTTGAAGACATGCGTGGTTAGGTTTATGGAGCAAATAAGAAAAATGAAAGCAAAATGTACTTAGGAACAAAAATCTTTGAGATTTTTTTACACATAATTTAATTATTAACTATGCAAAAATAATACAGATAAAAATATAATTTGTTTGTTTCAGTATAGTTAAGGAAATATGTAATTTCTTTGCATCTTTTACAAATCTTTACTAACACTTTAAAAGTTTAACTTTAAAATAACAATCTGATACTCTGAATAAGATGGGAAAGTAAAGCTGAATACAATTCGGCCCTTAAGATACCAATAAGGAGAAGTTTAATTCTATTTTAGATATTGTAAATAATGAAAAAATAAACTAAAATAAAATTTAATTTGAAACATGAAATACGAGTGTTATGTCTTTTTTTGCTCTTTTGTCGTGATAGGTTGCTCTTTAGAATAAATCGCATAATAAATAAGTTAAATGTTTCAAAATCACAAATATTAATATTACACCTACGTTAGAAATAATTAAGATTTTGAAAATATTTGATTATGATCAACCCCCGAATAGCCTCGATTTTTTAAATAAATTTAAAATCAATGTATTTTATACGCTTTTAGATTATATCTAATTTTTTTGTGTACTAAAGTGTGTGCGCAAATTTCCAGAATGATTTATAATTATTATTATTTACTTTATTTACTTTACTTTAATTATAATTTAAAAAAATAAAGTAAATGTTTATATAATTTCAATGAAAAACTGTTAAAACAGTTAAATATATTTGGGGGGGGGGGGGCGCTAGAACAAATCTTGCATGCGGGCGCTGAGAACCCCAGGACCGGCCCTGTATATATATATTATATATATATATATATATATATATATATAACATAGGAACCGAACAACAATATATACATATTAAAACTCATATCATCAAGTTGGCAACTAAGTGAGTTCGGACTTTTGTTAGAAAATCAAATATATTTGTTTCGTGCAACTAAATAACTTTATTCTGTAATGCATTATCTGTTATCCATATTGATCAATGACTAGTAGATCTTTCAAGCAACATTATTATATCACTTTCATAGAAAATCTGATTTTTATTAGGAAAAAACTGAATCAGATACAAAGACCATCACAACCATTGATTTTTTTACCATTCAAGGAGTTTCGTGAAGATTTAAACAAAAATATCAGGTCAAAACTACTTGGTGGATGTGGCAAAACATTTCAACAAAGCACCAATAATTTTAGCGAGTACCCAAATTTATGTTACGTCAATGATGAAATGAACCACAGTTACGATTTATCAACTCGGGCCGCTGTTCTTTAACTGCATTGTTTAATTTCGTTAGTTCAGTTAGGTGGTAAGAGTACAAGCAGACAAATTCCTTTGGAACCAACTGAAAATGGACGACGACCAAAGCAAAAATTTGCCAAACCAATTTCGATACTGCTGTTTCTTTGTAATCTTAAGATGCCTTCTTATCTTTGCAGAAATAAAAAAGAAAATATGGCAAAAAAATCAATTTGATTTTCCATTTTTACAAACAAAAGATACAGACTAATACCAAACGTATTCACCAAAAAATACCCTTTGTGTTAAGCTTATTTTAAAACTTATAATTTTGTGTCGAATTAAAAGGTTGGCCTAGTATTTTACTTTGCAGACCAATAAAATACCTAATTAATTTAAGCGAGAGATTGAAATGTCGTAAGACAACTATATCAAACTAAAAAAAAATTGCATTTGCCAGGTTTGAATTTTACATTTGTAGATTCAATCAGTTAAGTTATAATAAGGTACAAGGTGCTTTGTAAAGTACTAGTTTCAATAAGAAACGATGGCAAAGAAGAAGGTGCGAACACCATAAATTATAATTTTTTTCATGCTGAATTATGCGCGATTCAAATATTTATTAAAAATTGAAGTTGATGGTCTAGCTGACTGCTAAATGTCGCTATAGAGCAGCGTTTCTCAAACTTATTTTCTCCATCGCCCCCCTTTGAAGATCAAAATTTTTGTATCGCCGCCCCACCAAATTTTTTATACAAACTCTGAAAGTCTGTGAGATTTGCTATATATTTTTTGATGATATCAGGTTTTCACACACAGCTGTGTCCTTATTTTCTAAAAACTCTACAACAGAGTCAAACAGATTGTAAAAACGGGTCAGACAATTTCCTTTCGATAGCCAATTTTTTGGTAAAAAACTATAAAATGGTATCAAAATCATTTAAACACCATGGTAACACGACCAAACTTATAAAGTACCAATTAATCGTTGGGATACAAATTCTGGTGAACTTTAAAATGTAAAGTAAATAAAATTACAAATGCCCCCTAACCCAACGCCAACAACCAACATTTTTCACGAGGCCTTTCATCGCCCCCCTGGAGATCAATATCGCCCACCAGGGGCGATATCGCCCACTTTGAGAAAGACTGCTATAGAGCAATGAATTTTCACAAAGTTTGAAAGACCAATTAAATAAAAATTATAAAATTATTTGCTGTTATCAGCGGGCAAACTTTAATTTTAAAAAATTCTTAATATATATTTGATTTAATATACATATATTAATTTGAGTTTCTATGTAAATTCAGTTTGAATCAATGCCATTTCTTTAACTCAAATCATTGAAGCCAAAATAAATATACTACTGGATCAGAAAATATTAAGTTAAATTAGCAAGAAAAACATTTTTATGCCCCTTATTGACCCAGAAAAAGTGCGTGTTTGACCAATCGAGATTACTCAATACTTATATATACTTCCATTCAGAGGAATTAAAAATTTCGTGTATCGCATTTTTGTGAATTCTTCAACTACATGGTCTTCTAAAAGATTTTTGTCTTTTGACCGAATTGATATTTTTCTGCTATGTGATATGAACAGTCGAAGTGGTTAGTAAGAATGAAAGAACATATGAACTGATTACACAGGTCAACAAAGAAAATGGTGCAAACGATTTTAATACTGTTTTTAAGTATATTTGGGGCGCTGATTTCAAAAATGACATTGGTTTTTTCTATGAGCTTTAGTTTTGAAGATACAATATATATGATATATTTTACGATATTAGGTGCGCAACTAAGTTCTCGCTGTTTTTTCGATGAAAATGTAACTTTATTATAAAAAAAATGCATCAATTGAGTTCGATACAGTTCTCCAGTGATGGTTTCACTCGGTTTCAACAGCTCATAACAAATAACACCGATCTGGTCCCCCATATGTAGAACCATAACCTTCGAAGTGAATATTCGGCCGAACCGAGATTTTCTCGTCTTTGGATTGCTGTAATGTATTTATTTTTTATCACCTGTCACGATGTGATGAAGAACCTCTTCTTTTCTCGCCGCTGGAGCAGTTGTTTACAGGCGAAAAAACGACGTTCGACGTCTCTTGGCTTCAACTCACAAGGAACCGAAGTTTCTTGCTTCTAAATCATCCCCGACGCATACTATAGCTTGGAAATGGTTTGATGGGTAACTCCTAATTCTAAAGCAAGATCTTCTTGAGTTTGGCACGAATCCTCTTCGAACAAGGCCTTCAATTTAGCGTTTTTGAAGGTTTTGGCCTTCCTTCACGAGGGTGGTCGTCAACATCAAAATCACCATTTTTGAAGCGACAAACCCCTCATGGCATGTTGTTTCGCTCAGAGCAACATTTCCGTAGCTCTCGATGCACTTTGCTGCCGTTTTTTTTTTAATGGAAGACGAAAATCAACACTCCCCGCAAATGACGATTGTTTGGCATAAAATTGGACATATTCACTTAGCCAGAAGTATATAATGCAAAAACGAAATCAATTAGGTGTACCAGCAGTTAGTTTACTTACTCTAAGCTTGCTTCAAGACGTTTTGGATTTGTCAAAATCGACCAACCCTTACTGATAAAGCCATATACTGACAAACAGCGAGAACTTAGTTGCGCACCTAATATAAGGAACGAAAGTACAAAATAGTAATACAATTCAGAATGTTATTGTAATGAGATATGCCTACTTGTACATACAAACTTATAAGACCCATTCGGCCTTAGTTGGGACATTAGTTGACACTGTGAAAAGTTCTTTTCC